TTTTTTGGTTTTTCTCCAGTACCGGGAACCGAACTCACGACCTTGCGCTTGCCAGGCAGGCGCTTTTGCCGCTGAGTTAAATCCCCAGCCCCTGGGCTTCATTTAGATGCCACATCAAAGAGATCGTCCACATCAAAAGAGTCCACTGCTCCCTCCCTGAACTATAGCATATGGGTGCTCAGAAGGGAAAAAGAAAGATCCTATAGTTCGCTCACTCAGTGTGCTCACAAAACTAGATCAAAATACTCCTGCTTTAAATGAAGATGTTTGGTTTAAAATGATTCGTCATCATCAGCTCCCTCTAGCCACTCCCTACCCACTTCCAAATTTCCTGGGATGGTTTACTTCTTTTGACTTTTCTCATTTCCCCCAGTTCATTTACTTATGAAATGTCTTGATAAATTTATAACTATAATAAAAAGATTCGCTATTCTGCCTACTTGGCATATCTGACAAGCCTGGGATCTCGCGGCAAACTTAGGGAAAGCAGAAGAGTACTTGACTTGTTATCTAACTGGTAATCTATAAGAAAAGCCGTTACCCCATACACTGTAAGGAAAATCTCCACAAACAGAAGGCTGAATGTTACATGTTAGTTCTTATCGCTATAAAGCTACACAGTCTTTAAGGGACACCAGCAAAGAGCGAAATATGATCAGGCTCACATGCAATACAGAAATGAAACGTCCATTTCATGCACACAGCTTTTATGATATGTAATACACCCTCTGCAATTTATCATGAATGCTATTTTTACAGGAACTTGATAATGAAACTGCTTCTTCAGGACAAGAAGAGAAGAACAGGCGAGAAAAAGCAGTAAATGCTTGCTTTGGTGCCACTTACCCATTTGGCCACTGGGTGCCAGAGCAGATCTTCCTAAAGTCCTAGGTTCAGACAGACAGGTATAACGAATGCGTGTCCCGTTGCACACTACCGCGTGAACGTTAACAGCCTCAATAATGCAGACGCTGCCCTTGATCTTTCCCGATTGCTCTCGCTACACTGACTTCGTTATCACTGATCTCACAATTTAAAAAATAAAAGCTTTTAAAATACCTACTTAATAAGTATGCAAGCCCCAGGTTATTGGCACTGGATTAGAAAAAGTACAGAGAACATGATTTGCTATAAAACTCCCTGAAACAACTACTTTTTATTATTATATCCTCAACCTTCGCTTGTCTCTTTCTTTCTTTCTTTCCTCTCCCTTTTCACTCCGTCTCCCCCTCCTCCTCCGTGAGCTAGCACAGCAAAGAAAGCGAGCACACTGCGAAAGGATGGCTGTTAGAGCCAGGAGGGAAGTCCTCACCAAAAACCGCCTTCCTGGGACCTTGGCCTGGGTCTTGTTGCTTCCACAATTACAAGAAAATAGGTTTCTGTTCTTCAAGCTTCACAGTCTATGGCATTTGTTAGGCAGAACACAGTGACTACGAGAACTAGTAAGTGTGGATGGGGTGCTCTGGGCAGGCTCGGACCCTCTGTCCTCTCCTCTGGGAGGGATCTATGTGCCAAAGAAGCTGACGGTCCACTAGCTGCACAGTTTTTTGTTTTTTTTTTATTATTATACTCTGCTGTATTAAATGAATCCTTCCAAGCTGACTTATGTTCTTTATTCTAATCGTGCAGGATATAAATATTTAAAACAAATGCTACAGACTAGCACCATTCCTTCAAATAACAACTGTGATGGTTAAAGCACTCAGGCAGTTGAAAAAGGCCTACAGGGGTATCAGCATGAACTGGCTGCACAGTTGTAGACTGAACTTCTTTAATTCCTGTTTTCCCTACCAGTAAAATAACAAGCAGCCCAAATAAACTGACAGGTTATTCTACCTATAGAATGTGAGCATCTTAACCTGCTTGGTACGCAGGAGTGGGCTTGAAGATTTTTACGGATACATTTGCTCTAATAGGACACTGCTCCATTTCCACATACAGTTTATAAGCTCTGTGTGATAGATGTTTTCAAATGCTTGGCTTTGAATGGGCTGGGGATTTAGCTCAGCGGCAAAGCGACTGCCTGGCAAGTGCAAGGTCGTGAGTTCGGTTCCCGGTACCGGAGAAAAACCAAAAACCAAAAAACAAAAAACCCAAACAAATGCTTGGCTTTGAAAGAAGATGTGTTAGATTTAGCAGACTTTCTCCTGCTATAAATTTCCACTCCTTTTCTGGTCTTTCTAGGGTAAGGTTATATATAACGCAACGAAACTCTCAGTTCACACATACAGCACCTAATGCAAAGATAAATATTAAAGCATATCTGAAATGTTATTAAAATGTATCAAAAAATTCTTTACCTTCATCAACTGAATCCGAAGTGCTGCTTTTGTCCAGAGAAAGATACTCATTTTTATTCAGGTCCAGGGATCTTGACGGCCCTCTACTCAGTCTCTTTTCTGAAGTTAATAAAGGGCTCTTTCTGATCTGCTTCTCCCTGTGGGGTGCTTCCTTACCTAGTCCCTAAAAGGCAAACAATACAAGTTCAATATTTTTTAAAAAACAGCATACAATATAGCAAGAAATTTAATCTTAAACACGCTTTGGCATGCTGCTCTTTGAAAAATCTTTACAGAATTTTGTTTGTCAGGGTTAAATTACATTTGCAGTGTTGCTGAACGTGGGGCCATGATGCGTTAGTAACAGACTACATATTATCCTGAAGTACCGTATTAAAGAAGGATGAGCAACACATTATGAAGAATCTTATACAAAAAGAACTCACAGAGAGTTCACATTATATGAGTCACTGAGGCAGAAGGGAAAGGTTACAAAGGAGAAAATAGTGGAATAGTCAGTTCTTTGGGATGAGGAAGGGACAGGAGCCAGATCTAGTCAGCTTCCCAGCCAATGCCTGCCCCATCATCGCAAGAACTCACCCAGCTCTCAAAATCAGAAACAAAGCAGTAAGGGAAAGATAATAGACAAAGGTCACAGAGTGTACTGTGGAAAAGAAAAGATTAGAAGAGAAAGTAATTTCATAGTAAAGTTACAGGAGCACACACGGCTGTGTTTTTAGAGACTAAGAGATTAGGCATTAAAATATATTCAATATATGATGCTATCTATACTTTCTAGGATGGTTTAATAAAGACACATCAATGCTACAATAAATTAAATGCTAGGCATTAAAGCATGAATGAAATTGCTATGTCGTATTCAAGGGCAAAAATATTATAATCAGGCTTAGTAGGATAATGTAAAAAATCTGTATGAACGACATGGCAAAGTAGTTTCTTATACTCTGTGTGTGTACACAATGTTTCGTCTGTGAAACAGATACAAGAACATATACATAAAATCCTTACACTCTCTGCCCCAGGAGATCCCTAAGCAGCAATGAACAGAGAAGCAGCTCTGGGGAGCATACAGGTTCCCACTGGCCACTCAGAAGGTAGAACAACAACTGGGACCCAGGACACAGTTGATTAAAGATTTAGCCTACGCTAATCAGAGGATAGATTCTCCAAGCAGGAATCACTGCTCCGATTGAGAGCTGATATATGGGAGTGCTGCACATTATGAAGCATGTGCTAACTTAGTAGACAACCCAGGACTTCTTCACAGATACATGCATATAGGAAAAATGGGCACTATTTTCGGTATTTGGATGATTTCTGTTTCTTTATATAGTCTTCTATATTTCACAAAATTTTATAAAAAGTATTGTGTAATTTTAAAATTCATTCTATCTTCAGAAAATACTATTTCTGACTTTTTGTTATTTCCAACTTTGTTGGAAGTGAAATTAAAATAAAGTAACATACAACCGTACTGTTCTTGAATGTACAAAGAAAAAAGAACCAAACTTCTACATAACTTATATTCCATAATCTGAAAATATCTACACTAAACATCAACAAATGTATGGTTGGTCTTAAAACATTGTTATTCTTCCACATTCCATTCCTTTTCTAAGAGAAAATGTGGTTTTTCTTTTTTTCTTTTCTTTTTTTTTTTTAAGGGACAACACTAGCAGCAAGCCAGGCGTGGTGGCACACACCTGTAATCCCAGCTCTTTGGAGGCAGAGGCAGGAGGATCGCCGCGAGTTTAAGGCCAGGCTCGACTATACAGTGAGTTCAAGGCCAGTCTGAACTATATAGTGAAACTCTGTCTCAAAAAAACAAAAACCAAACAAACAAAAAACAAGAGGCAAAAACCAACAGGTTAATTACTTGAAGAAGTACAGAAGAAATTGCCAGGTTATTGAAAGGACTCAAGCAGAGATGAATAGTACTGAGAAGCCAGTCTTCAAAGTCCGACTTTTGTAAAAGGACAAAGAGACTACAAGAAGTCTCCTATCTTGTTACCTTCCCCAGGTGAAGTGGTTTCATCTTCTTAGTGAGAACAAAGAGATTAACACAGAGAATTGCATTTCTTGTACCACTAGTATGTCCCTCAGAGTCCCTAAATGCTTAGTTTTTTTCAAGAAATCCACAGCACAAAAGCAGATTGAGGAAGAGGCATGACGGTTGCCTAAGACAAGTTTATAATGCGCAGGCCTTTCACATTAACATGTTTTCTTTCTGCATTTACTCAGAGGAGGTAATGGGCGCTCCCTAGAACAGGGCAGAAAAGGACCACTGCTGGCCATATGCAGGCTCGCTTCCAATTCTAATAGTTATGGGTTGGGGATATTTAATGCGTTATTCTGAGAAACTAAATATATATATATATGTATATATATATATTCATTTAACTTTTATTTTTAAAAGCCTTTGAGCTATTACCTTTTTATTTTTTTGTCTTTTTTTTTGAGACAGGGTCTCGCTATGCAGTTCAGGCTGGCCCTGAGCTCTCTTTGTAGCCTATGCTGGTCTCAAACTCACAACAATCTTCCTGCCTCAGCCTCTTGAGTGCTGGGATTACAGGTGTGTGCCACCATGCCTAGCTGAGCTATTATCTTTATAGTTAATAAAGCAAAGGTGAGTTTAAGCAATTAAATTAGTTCGTTTAAAGTCATATAGTAAAAGTAACATGATAAAATTTGAAGCCAAAGCCATGCTCCAAACCAATAAATTCAGCTTTGGCCCCAAACTTGGATCCCCTATCAGGAGAACAAAAGCGGTACGACAGAAGCACTCTTAGTGCTCAGAATGTGGTCTTTTATATTATTCTTCACTTAGAAAATCACTCCAACTGCCGGGCATGGTGGTGCACGCCTGTAATCCCAGCACTCGGGAAGCTGAGGCAGGAGCATCGTTGAGAGTTTGAGATCAGCCTGGCCTACAAAGTGAGCTCAAGGACAGCCTGAACTGCGTAGTGAGACCCTGTCTCAAAAAAAAAAAAAAAAAAAGGTAAAAGAAAAGAAAATGACTCCCTAGGAAAATGACTGATGCTAAGTCTGGAGTAAAAAATATGCAAAGTGTCTGGGACATGTTGGGGTGCCAAAGAGAGAGGAAGTCATCAAATATTATTGGTCAGTTTGAAAAGATAAAGGAGCATTCTGGAGAGAGGAGCTCTTGTTGGCAGAGGGACCGAACTGAGTTTAATAATAATAATAATAATAATGCTTCGAAGTGATTGAAACTCACTGACATTTAAAAACCAACATACGTATAACGGTACTTGAAAACATAATTGAGAAAAGGAAGAAAACTGGCCAACCACCTATAAAGCCCAGTAGGAAGCTGGGTCTGCCTTCTGAAGAAGGCAACTGAAAAAGCAGGGGCTTAAGAAGCAGCACTGCCACTCAGCCCGCTGCTCAAACGCTCGTCTCTGCAGTCATCACCACACACACTACCAACCTGGGGGAAACCCCACCCACTACACATTTCTACATCCTTTTTATTTTTAAGTAATAATGTTGCTCAGGGGAGAGCCTGATAGCTCTGCACTTTATCCAGCTTTGAACAAAACCATGTATTTTCCCATCCATAACCTCTGGTACTTGGAGACTTAAAACCTTACCTTCTAAACTACCTGATATCCTAGCAGCCTGATATCCTAAGTGTTTCAATTTTTTTTTTTTTTTTTTTTTTTTTTTGAGACAGGGTCTCGCTATGCAGTTCTGGCTGTCCTTGAGCTCACTTTGTAGCCCAGGTTGGCCTCGAACTCGCAACGATCCTCCTGCCTCAGCCTCCCAAGTGCTGGGATTACAGGCATGCACCACCACGCCCAGCTTTCAATATTTTGTAGACTGTACTTTTTTTACGAGAAAGAAATGTTTTAATATCATCTTTAACATATAAAAAAATGAAAGGAACAATTCAACAAGGATCCTTCCACTGTTCTTTATACAGATTTAAATGCTGTCAGGTAATTTATCAGTTATATTTATAATCAATACCCTTCTAAGCACTGAGATTAGAAATTACAGTATTTACTGAGCTAAACTCTCACAAAATAAGGCACAACTACATGATCACAAATAGTAAACACAATACAAATAATGAACCCGAACATGAAATGAAAAAATATCCATGCAAAAGTATACTCAGAAGCTATGAGCACATGATCCAGCTCAAGGCAGTACAGAAAGCCATACAAACGGCTGCATCACGTTACAGTAAGCTCAGTACTTCTACACGGAAAGAACTTAGTGATCTCCAATTCCACTTCATACAATGTTATGTAAATTTAGTAAGTGTATGCACAATATTCACATCTGCAACAATAACAAATTGATCATTAAAATTCAGGCAATGGGCAATTAAGACATGGTAATGTGCGGCACATTGTAATTACAGACTATCACTCATCTAGCTCCTGTAGACCGTACTTTTACTTGCTTTTATATTATGATTAACACATGGCAATGTCCGATATAGTTTTCTAAAGGATCGTATATACTAACTCCTTTTGATGAATTTCCATCCAACGATTCTGTTTCCGAAACTCGACTGATTGATTCACGTGTAGAACTGATGGACTTGGATGATTTTTCATCTCCTTCCCCAGAGTCATCCACACTGCTTCTTCCTGGACTTCTGTAAGAAACACATGACATCGTTACAGAAATGTAAGCTCCCCCTACACAAATAAGTGAAGTGGTCCCTCACCGAGGTCCTCTTCTATTACAAATCATTTGCAAACAATTAACTGTAATGTAACAGATAAGCCACTACTAATCACAAAGGTGTCTTCTTAAATCACATGCAAGTCCACTTCCTTTCTGAAAATAAGTCAGATACACTCATATGAGGTTCTATAAATTTCAGAAACCATTAAGAAGCTAACGAAGTAAAAGGGGCCACAACAGCAGCTAATCGAAAGGATACTGCTTGTTTAAATTTTAGTTGTGGACAAACACGCAGCTTTAAAAGGTTCAAGGAGATTGAGACAGATACGGATCAGGACCAGAAGACAGTTTTTTTGCTTTGTTTATTTGTTTGTTTTTGCAGTGATGAGGATTAAACTCAGGGCCTCATAACTGTGAGGCAAGTGTTCTGCCACACAGCCCTAGCGGCAGCCCCAGAGGGCAGTTTGACGTCTCCTTCCTTCTGACTCAAGGGCCAGCTGAGATGGCGAATCCCTCCTGATGTGGGAGCTCCTGGCGTCTGAGCAAAGAGCCCACCCATCAGTCAGGCCGCACCAGATCCTTTCAAACCTAAGAAGAAGGTATAAGCAATAGGTTCCAAATGATGATAGGGCCATGATTACAAAATCAATGTCCTCGGATCTGCTTTTCCTGTCTCAGGTCCAGAAAGGAAGAAGAGCTTCTAAATATGAAAGGGGCACCCCTGACCTCATTTCCAGGGCTCAACCTTATCAGGGGATTATTGTTCCCACATAACCATTGTTATATATACTTAAAACTCCCCCAAAATAAAGTAGCAGCCTAAAATCTTATGCAATATTATCTTGAAGAAGGACTACAAAAGCCACTGGGTATTCCAACCCTACTTTAGTCTGCCCCAGTGATGTTTAGGTCTTGCTATCAGTGGCTCCAATCTAGGCAGAACGGTGGGGCTGTGAGAGCTGAGCAAGAAAAATGGACCTTTGAGAACAGCGCGCCAGCCGAGTGCCGGTAGTTTTGGATTTTAAAGGATGGAAGTGAGGTCTGAAAAATACAGAGAGTAAGACAGGTGGGAGTGGGGAGGAAAGACTGAAAGTGAACAGGGTACCAAGGAAGAGCCAGTGACATAAAGGTTTGAAACAGACGTGTTTCTTTCAGAGATTGCAAGAAGGGGAAAGAAGTAGAACAGGGAATGAAGATCCTGCCCCATTATTTTCTTAGAAAGTACATGCTGGGCATGGTAGCGCACACCTGTAATCCCAGCACTCAGGAGGCTGAGGCATGAGGATCACCATGAGTTCAAGGCCAGCCTGAATTACATAAGCAAATTCAAGGACAGCCTGCACTACAGAGCAAGACTTTGTCTCAAAAAGAAAAAAAACAAAAAGTACTCAGTCACCAAAAGAAGAAAATAAAGGTTGACTAGCAACTTCAGGAAGTTGTTCCTAAGATCTTACATATGAAGCACCTGGTTGAAAATACTTAGCTTTTCCTTCTTCAAAGACTAGAAACTTTTCAAGTTGGCAAGGACCTTGAAGGTGAGCTAGTTCAACTGCCTCATTTCATGATGAGTAAACTGAGAATCAGAAAGGTTAAAAGATTTTCCTGAGGTTGTTCAGCCACTTGATGGGCCAGGCTAGAATACAGACCTTGTTTACCACAATCTAATGTAAAGGTTCTCTACGTTAGAACAGTTTCTTTCCTACCCAGCTCCAACACCTGAGAGAAACCAGTAAACTTTACAATGGAAATTTTTAACTTTACAGAAAACTTATAAAATATGCATGTGCAACCATGTGAAGAAGACTATAAAATATTAATGCGAAGCTGAAGCAATAGCAATAGGATCGGTATAACTAGGAGACTACCTCAATGAGTAAAATTTTTGTACATACCTTGAGACTTTCAAAATATTACCTCTGTAAGGGAATATTTTGCTTTAGATTTTTAAGTAACAACTTTATTAAGATATGATTCACATCCTATGAAATTCATTCAACTTAAAGGGTACCACTCAGTTGTTTACAGAGATGTATAGCCATCACTACACCTAATTTTAGAACATTTTCAGCACTCCAAAAAGAAACCCAAACCTGTCAGCAGACATTCCCATTCTCCCTCCCTTCCTCTCAGCTCCTGGCAACTGGAACGCACTTTCTCTGTGGATTTTGGACTCAATTTCATATGCAGGCAATTATATAATACTGTATATGGTCTTTTGCTACTGGCCTCTTCAACCTAGCATAATGTTTGCTACAGAATTTTTTCATGTGTTAAACTAGTTATTTTTATTGCAATGACATCAGTTTCCATTGGACAAAATGCACTTTTCCTTGCACCAGTTAATAAAAATGTCCACTCTTCTAAATAAACCTGTCAAAAATACTTTTTCTCTACTTTAATTTCTTTATCACATTATTTCTCTTTTATGACTATTATCTTGTATTATAGTCATTTGCATTCCCACAGTACTATAAGCTCTTTTCATTAATGTATTTAATACTTACTGAGTGCCAACCATGGTATTTCCCAAAATACCTACCACCTAATTAACTTCTTTCCCAGTGCCCAAGCCCTTCACACTGAGCTACATCCCTCAAATGGTTTTTAGACAAGAGCCTGCCAAATCACTAAGTTGCCCAAGCTGGGTTTGAAATTGCAACCCTCCTACCTCAGCCTCCTAGAGCACTAGGATTATAAGTCTGCACCACCAAACCTGGCTTTAGCTTACTTACTGCCATCCACAATCCCAGAGATGTACCATGTACTTCCCCAGGTCTTTAGCAAACTAACTTTATGCAGATCTCAGGTGACATAGATAGCTATACACTTAACATTTCCTTGTATGGCCAGTGTTTGTTTACCTTTTCAGCAAACTATTCCCTGTTCCCACCTTTCACCCCATTCCACCACAGAAAACAGAAGCAAAGTGCACCAACGGTGTATTGCTATAAATTCACAATTAGCAGAATTTAAAATAATTCCACTCCAGTGGCTTGTAAGTTCTGACATTTCTAAACATTTGCTGTACCTTGGCTGTGCATTATCTTCAAATGACGGTGACAAGTTAGCCATCTCCTCTGCATTTAAACCTAGCTCAGTGCCATAGTTCTGCTGGAGCAGGTGCCAGAATTCCTGTCTGGTCAGACTCTAAAATGACAGAAACATCACACTGAGTATTTTAAAATGTAAAAGATAATATACCTTTTATTTATTGGCACACACCTATAATCCCAGCTACTTAAGAGGCTGAGGTAGAAGGTTCACAAGTTTAAAGTCAGCCTGGGCAATTTAGCCAGGCTCTGTTTCAAAATAAAATTTAAAATAAAGGTTGAGAATATAGTTAAGCATACCATGGGTATTCAATCCCTAGTATCTCAAAAAAAGAGATGATTGCCAGGCGTGGTGGAGCAGGGCTGTAATCCTGGCACTTGGAAGGCTGAGGCAGGAGGATCGTTGCAAGTTCGAGGCCAGCCTGGGCTACAAAGCAAGCTCAAGGCCAGGCTGAACTGCACAATGGGACCCTGTCTAAAAAAACAACAACAACAAAACAACCACAACAAAAAGAGATGGTTGGGGGTTATAACAGTGATTCAAAACACAAATATTGGCCTCAAAGTGACCTGTGACACAGCTAAAGTCTAGCTGTTGCAGTTTTTTAACCTTTTAAGCCACCGGAGAAGGCTTTTTGCCATTTTCTGTAACAGTGAGTTAATGAAGGCTATTTGACAGAATTGATACAAGAAATAGATAATATGCTTTGAAACAGGTCTTGCTGCATTGCTCAGGCTGGTCTTCAACTCCTGGGCTCAAGTGATTATCCTGCCTCGGCTTCCAGAGTAGCTGAGACTACAGATACAGCAGCACCTCGCCTACCAAATGGTGATTTTTAGGTATTGTAAGTGAGAAATCAAAATGTTTAACATTTTCTTTTTATAAAATAATTTATTCATAGTTTCTGGCAATTACTGATGTGAAATCCAACCAGCTTCCTATTACTGTTCAAAGCCCTAAATATCATCTCAGAACCCACTGTTTTCATCCATGTATGAATATTTGAACAGTTTCTACAATTTTATTTACCAGTACACTTTAAATTATATTTTCCTGAAATATAAAATGCAACAAGTTGGGTGTCAAATATTTCCTTTGATTTTTTTTTTTTTTGATGTCCAGCTTGTTCTACAGGTAAGGTGTATCAGTCAGTATTTAAATCACCAAATATAACAAACTCATGCATTACATAGCAAAACAAAAGCAATAATATTATAACAGCCTGGGTTTTAGCGTAATAGTTACATATGATTAAGCAAACTAGAGGGAAGCAGCATTACCCTGGAAACAGTGGTCAACAGGATTATTTCTTTTACTCACATTACAGCAGCTTACTGAGAACCTACCAAACGTGCACGGAGGCCCTAGATGCTACGTGGGGTACAAATGATATAGACATTAAGCTCTTGACCCTCAAATGACTTCTAATGAAATGAAATGCTTCAAATGAAGAGGCAGGAAACAATCTGAAGTAAAATTAAATATGACAAGACATACTTATGTTCTAAAGTGCTGGTAGAATCAACACAATATGAAAATCCAAAAGAATCGACTATCACTGGGGATTAGAGTGATCAGAGAAGGCTCCACATTGGAGAAGGCTTCTTAGCAAGATGAAGGAAAGATATGGAGTGGAGGAGATATGAGAAAAGATGAGTAGAGGCAAATCAACACTAAAAATACACATGAACATAATAGTACTTGATTTGAAGTCAGTTAATAGTTTATCAACCTAACTGGAGCCAAAATTTTAAAATTGGGAAATTGTTGAGATAAATACACACTTACTAGGACCAAAATTGATACATGCCATGAATTCCTCCACAATAGTCCCTACAGTAAGTACCATTTCCCTTTCTCCTTTTCTTTTCTGTCCAGTAGCTGTGACTATCTTTATTTGTCGTATTATACCTGATGACTGTTATTACCTTTCACAGAACCTCAGAGATTCAGAACAAAATTTCTGCACTTTAGACTGCTAGTTACCAATCTGTCACGCCCACGTTACTAGGACTCTACAGAAGCAGTTGATGAAAATTCACATCAAAAATATCCAAATAGTTACCTACAGTAAAGTTATTTAGGCCAATTAAAACAGCAAAATTCTTTATTTTGAGCTGAGTTGTACTAACCTAAAGTGGATGTTGCAGACTGATCAACTCTCATTAGAAATAATGTACTCCTAGAAGAGTAATGTTTCACTATTTATTACTTAAATAATCACACTTATGGTGGGCAACATCTTTGAAGCACAATTTCCAGAGAAGAAGAAAAATGATCATTAGTGGTAGAATTATCTTTGAACTATTTTTTGGGTCATAAAATAAAGGTTAGCTTTTTAAGAGAAACAAGCAGATATTTCAATATACTTGTGTAAATTAAACTTTCATAAAAATTTTTCTGAAATAACAGACATTTCCAAAGACAGGATAAAGCAAACAAATAAGCCAGTGATGAACATTCATACACTTACTAGCAGTGAATGAAATGAAAGAAGTAAAATGCTAACAATAAAAATGCAATTTTATTTGACAATATAAATACATGTTTAAAAATTTTTAATAAATACTATGAAGTTAATGGGATAATTTCATATACTTTTTGACCTACTAATTAATAGCAGGTAGGTAGGTAAGTAGGTAGATAGATGTAACCGGTTACAGGGAAACAAAACTCACTTAATTTACCACATTGTAGGTTTGCTAATTTGTTAAAAATGACTTTTTCTACAAAGCTGTCATAAAAAATATGGTTATTTACAACCATGCTGAACATTCAAACATTAAAATATGCCAAGCCTGATAGTCTTAATTTTTTCAATAATCAGCAGCAGAACCAGTCTATCTAAGTAATCTTAAAAAAACAATATGAATTTTAAACAAAAACTGACCACCTACCTGCAAACCAAGTAGAATCTCCCCACTTCAGCCTACCGAGTAGTTTAACAACAATAAAGATGAACCAAGTGGTAATCAGATAAGGCTCAAAAGTCAGCAGATCAATTTCTGGCCCAGAAAGCTTTGTATTCTAAGTATGCTGCAAAGTCTTTCTCCACAGCAGAGCTTCAAATATTTAATGACAACTATGCAAAATCACTGCTTCGATTTCCTACTTTTGTTATAAGATGCTTGTCCTTGTAAAAGACAGATCTTAGTGCAATTTAAAGTACAGTATTTGTCACTTCCTGGTTTGTAGTATTAGCACTCTTTCCAAGCAGCAGGTCAGAATGAAGAACTGGAAGTTATACCTCACTCTACAGGTTCCTAAGCCACTCCCACTAAAGGAGGGTAGGTAAACAGTGTTTTATTAAAGGGACAGTTCCTAATTTCTTCTGTTTCACATGCCCATTAGAGACAAACTGCAAATGAAAATATCTTATGTTCAATTCATGTAAAAACCTATTGTCATATTAATCTCACTTGAAAAATTAACTCTGTTAATTTTTAAAGGTTAAACTTTCTTCTTTATGATAGTAGTTTTGATTCATCTCTGGAAAGGCTGTTATTATATGTTCATATACTTCTTTAACACTGACAGAGCATTCCCAAAAGACTCCCGCCTTCATGACTACCAGTGACTGTATCTTTTGACTATTGTAAATAGAATGTTAAGAAATATCAGGAAGAGCCAGCTATTCAGGTGGAACAATTCCAATGAGCACCTGGCACATCTTTCATCACTGAAAAGTTTAAGGTAACATCTGGTTACTCAATAATTCTTCCCTTTGAAAATATTTCTGGCCTTAGTTGATTGAGAACAATTCCCAGCAGGGACTTCATCTATAATGAACACTGTATCTACCAACTCCAATTTATTCCAAAGAAGAGTTATCTTCTAAATGAAGAATCAAAAGTTGCCCTCATTTCTACCAACTCATTCCATCTAATTTAGCACAGTGTGTAGGCAGGCTAATGTATTTGATGAGTTGTAGGGATCACCCTTTTAGGGGTTGCTAAAATCTAATCCTTCTATACAATTGCAAAATGTGAGCATAATAAAAGAGCAGAACACTGGAAATCATGACGCCCTCAAATGAAGAAAGCACACGTGGAGGTCAACTTCGTGGTGAAACTAGTGCTTTTAGCATATTATACTGGTTCTCACTGGCTAAAACTATAGAAAAATATATTTTCTTTTGGTGATCAAATAGCTACAACAAAAAATACTGGTTTTGGTATTTATCCAACTTTCTTGCTAACTAAAAAAAAAAAAACACCTTATAGCAAAGCAAATAATTGCTATATAGGGCAGAGCTAAATTTATATTTAAGAGGGAAAACAGAACCTAAAATTAAACCCCAAGAAAGTCCAACATGCAAAAGCAAGTAGAGGAGGGGTGTCCAGCAAAAACATTGAGGGAAATACCAAAGTGGTGAGAGATGAGTCCAAAGACAATGATATCCTGGAAGTCAGAATGCAGGGGGTGTACAAAGGTGCCCAATCCCATGAAAGGTCATGATCAATATGTGAGGAGCACATGCATGACAAATGCCAACATCCAGAGGAGTAAAGCATCAGGTAAGCCAGGTCAATAAGACCAGAGTATGTGTGTTGAAGGGAAGGAGGGGAGAGGGCCTGTGAACAGTCTTTTATGAACTACACTGTAAAGAAAACAAAGTCACCTAGTGGTTTTTGGTAGAAAGTAATAACTTTAAAGTTTTGTTTTCAAAGATACTTTTAAACTACAACTACCTAGGAACAAACTCAAGGACAGATTAGAATGTTAACAAACAGGTCTGAGACAATAAGGACAGTTCAATCTAAAAATGATGAAGACTCTGGTGATCAGCTAGGCAAGGCCAGCGAAGATGGCAAGAAGCAAGGATATGTCTGGGTTCCTGGCTTAGAAGACTGGGCTAAAGTCAGTATGGTTCACTGACCAAGGAAAATAAGTGGATGAGTTCTGCCAATCAAAACAACAGTGAGGGAACAATATCAGAATACAAATGCTTCCACCTTGTCAAGCTATATTATGTAGCAAAAGTGACTAACTTTTTTAAACTGTACTTTTAAGGTACATTTGAATGTTGCATTTATTAGATTTATAACACCACTAGAAAACTTCTAGAATTCCAAGTAACTTCAGAAAGAATGATC